TGCTGCGGTCTTCACGTGGAAGACCCACTTTCCCGAGAGGATCCTTGCGCCCTTGATTGCTGCGCGGTCGACGAGCACCCAGGTGTCGCGTGACTCCAGTGCCTTGATTTCCGCGTCCATCGCCTCGCGCCACTCCTTGCTGTGTGGTCCAGAGAGAGCTTCGCGCGGGTTTCGGGGCTCGATGATGCGCGGCGCCTTCGAGGTTGCGGTGTGAAGCCCGAGCAGCTGCAGTCCTGAGACGGTGCTGTCGTGGCGACGTTGCGGGATGACTTCCTGCACATCGTCGTCATCGCTCTCTGGTTCAGGTGGTGCTGGTGGTGCTGCGCCTCTGCCGCTTCCGCCTGTTCCGCTTCCGCCTGTTCCGCCCGTTCCTCCTCCCGAGGAATCGTCGTCGTCGTCGTCGTCGCTGCTGCGCCGATCTTCCCATGCGAACTCTCCCCTTGTGTCCTGCTCCAGGATTGCTGCAGCGGCTTCGTCTTCGGGCGTTGCGTAGCTGTGGCCGTCGTTGGCGTAAACGCGGTTTGCGTTCGTTTCCTCGTCGTGGCGGAATTGCTCGAGGAAGAGGCGCTCGTAGAAGATGACGTCGCGAGCGTGAGCGGTTTTCTGACTGAGGAGGTCCAGCACGATCCACGCCTTGTACTCGTGACTGATGCCGAGATGGATCCCCCAGCGCGCGCGGCTGGCGAACTTGCCGATGGTTGAAGTCGGTGGGCGATATTGGACCATACACCCCCATACGCGGAGCATGGAGGTATCCCCCTTGGTTCCTGTCCACTTGACGTGCGGGGACAGGTTGCCGGTGATTGCGGTGGTTGAAAGCAGGTTATGCACCCGCACGGCGTGGTGCATCGCGTAGGTCCAGTAGATCGGCGGCAATTTCGACTGCTTCATCAGCGCGCGCACCTTTGTCATCAGCGTGCGGTTCGTCCGCTCAGCTACGCCCTGCTGCTGGTGCGCGTAGGGGAGGGAGATGTGATGCTCGATCCCCTTTATCAAGATAAGCGGTAGTCTTAGGAGCCATAGCTAGGAGAGTCCTAGCTAGGCAAGAGAGTTTAGGCGAAAGAGGAGAGGGTTGCACTAGCAAGAATGGGGATACAAATAGCAAACCCTAGAAGGGTTGTACTCGCTACAGAGCACCCCACTACAGGCTAGAGCATAATATTCTGACACACCCCCATAGCCAAAGTGGGGTGTAATCAGCAGAGCAAGCAAAGCAGTACAAGCTCAGGGTGGATCACAATGTCACCACACATTCTGAGCACAAGATTAAGAAGCAATAGTTTAAAGTTCACAATTATGAGCAAAGCTAGTGGTAGTCACAACGGGCAAGTGAGGAGGAGGAGGGCTGGCGAGAGGAGAGTAGATGGGAGGCGACGACTGAAGCTGCAGGCACACGGGCAACAGACGGCTCTGGTGCGACACAGTGGCTACCGGGAGTGAGTGCCCCGGAGTACAGGAGTAACAGGCTCCGCGGCTAAGACGAGCAGCAGGAGCAACGGACCCACAGGCGACGGCGCAACCGGCTCTCTGAGCTACCGGGAGTGAGTGCCCCGGAGTACAGGCGCTGCGTACGACACGACGGCAACCTCCCCTCAACCTCCCCCAACAGTCCCACACCCCTCGACACACACCCGCTGCTACACCGCTAGCTCCACTCCCCCTTCACCCCCCCTTAGTACCACTCCGACGGCTCCAACAGGTCCACCCCCCTCAGCGGCAGCTGCAGCACAGGGAGACGGAGGAGGAGGAGGAGCAGGGAACGGCACACAGAAGCTGCACCCCCATACCCCCCAACCCCAAACCCTAATCCAGGAGAACGGGCAGAAGGAGGGGTGGGGCGCCTTCAGAAGCTTGGGGGACGGACGAGGCGCGCGCACGGGTCTGCCGCAGGCGGGACGAGGCGCGCGCGGGCTGCCCGGGCCGCGCGCGGGCCTGGCGCAGCCCGTACGGGCCGCGCGCGGGCCTGGCGCAGCCCGTACGGGCCGCGCGCGGGCTGTACGGGCCGCGCGCAGGCCTGGCGCAGCCCGTACGGGCCGCGCGCGGGCCTGGCGCAGCCCGTACGGGCCGCGCGCGGGTCCCAGGGGCGCTTCGACGGGCGACGGGGACGTTTCGACGGGCGACGGGGGCGCTTCGACGGGCGACGGGGGGGGGGGGACGCCTCGACGGGCGACGGGGGGCACTTCGACGGTGGGAAACCGCCGCGCGCCTCGGGGCGCACGGTAGGCAGAAAACCGCCGCACGCCCCGAGCGTACGGCGGGATGAAAACCTTAAAAAAAAATTCGCGGCGCGCGGCAGGAAGGAGGCGTCGCGCGACCAGTAGAACAGCAGCGGAAGCATTTGGTGGTGGGCCCACCCACAGGATCGACCCAAGGGGGTCGACCTGCTCTGATAGCATATCAAGATAAGCGGTAGTCTTATGAGCCATAGCTAGGAGAGTCCTAGCTAGGCAAGAGAGTTTAGGCGAAAGAGGAGAGGGTTGCACTAGCAAGAATGGGGATACAAATAGCAAACCCTAGAAGGGTTGTACTCGCTACAGAGCACCCCACTACAGGCTAGAGCATAATATTCTGACACCCTTTTGCGTCAGGAATGTCTGCATCTGGTTGCTCCTGAACTCTGCCGCGCCGTCAGATTGCCAGATCTTGAGTTTCTTCCCAGATTGCCGCTCCGCATGTGCTAGCCAGCCACAGACGAAACACTTCGTAGGCCCTGTCGCGCGACTCTACGTTCGCGACCCACACGTAGCTCGTTCCAGCGTCGATGAAGGTAAGCGTGTACAGTTCGTCCTCGACTCCGCAGTGCCCCACGTTCAGGAAGTCGCTGTACACTTTGTGCAGCTTGGGGTAGCGGTTTGTTCCAGGTTCGAGCAGCGGGAACGGTTGGTGGCTTAGCGCAGCTTCAGGGCAGACGGTGCAGTTGCGCGGATGCGTCGCGCCTCTCACTTCGGAGCCATCAGGGCGCAGGAGTGCGCCAGGAGCGAAGACGCCTGCGTCGATGCAGTTTTTCAGCGTCGCGCGAGAAGGATGTCCGAGGCGCTGGTGCCAGAGTGCATCGTCAGCGCGAAAGCCTGAGTTGCGCATGTAACGCACGCGCGCTTCTTCTGGGTCTTCGTCAGGTACGTCGGCAGGTTCTGCTGCTACTTCCTCTGGTTCTTCTTCTTCTGCCGCGGTAGTCAGCATCAGCGCCAGAAACTCTCTGTCGCGAATCTCAGAGAGTGAAATGTTGGTCCCAGGGATGGTTCCAGGGACGAAGGTTGGTTCGCGTGGCTCAGGGGCGGGTCCGTAGACGGTGCGACGCGGGGTTGACGGCTCGTTGCCCCAGATGATGGTGTCCCAAGGGTCGCGACGCGGGGGAATGTCAGCGGGAGGTGGTGCGAGTGGAATGTGGCGCGGGGGATGACCAAGAGGAACGACTGCGGGTGTTTCTTCAGTTTCTTGGACTTCGTCATCTTCCCCCCTTCGTTCTTCGCGGGAAGTGCCCCAGCCGCTATTGTCGGCGCCAGATGCGGCGCCCCATCCGCCGCTCGCGTTGGCCCAGGTTCCGCCGTTGTCTCCCCATCCGCCGGTGTCGCTTGTTCCCCATCCTCCAGCGCTCCCCCACCCCCCTTCATTGGAGGCACTCTCTTCCGCTTCGGCTCCCCATGCGCCGCAAGCGAAGGTGCCGCGCGCTTCGGCAAGGCTCTGCTGACGTATCGCCTCAGCTTCGCGTTGCGCTAATTCTTCTTCTTGCTCCACGGTGAGTTTTACCGAGGGGTCAAGCCGATGGGAGTAGACCTTTCGGAATTCTTTGAGGGTGTAGGGGCGCGGAACTCCGCGTGAGTCCAAGCTTCCGCAGCGTTGTCCTCGCAAGATATTATCGAGTCGCTGGGAGGGAAGTCCAGCGTGGGGGCTTTGGTCGGGGCCAAACACACGGCGAGTAGTCTCCTCGACTTCGAGCTGCAACATCCATTCTTCTGGTGGCGCATGACGCTCTGCTTCAGCGATGGCGGCGAGTCCGCGGCCGGCAATCGCGCGTGTTGATGTAGTCGGTGTGTGACAATCCCTGCAGATGCCGTCTGGGTCAGGGTTGTGCAGCGCCGTTTCGCGAAGGTGGGGATGATGCGGCACCCAAGGCCTACCGTCAGGGTGTTTCAAATCCCTACGGTGGATGTGTTGAAGCGCAGTGGCACGAGGTCAATCAGCTCGTGCGAGTCGCCGCTGCAGTCGGGGATGTCAAAATCCAGGACGTACTCTCCATTTTCAGAGTGTGCTTGTCCGATCTGCCTGCGGGGGAAGTTGCGCGCTTCGTAGTGCAGCAGGATGTCTCGCGTCGCGCGGTCCGTGCTGAGGTCGACGCCGCAGTCCATGAGCTGTGCGGCGGACAGGAGGTTGAAGCGCAGGTTCTGGACGATCAGCACATCATTGAGCGTGATGTGCGTGCGGCTTCCGCGTGCCTTGAGCACGACGATGCCTTGCGCGCTTGCGCGCAGGCGCGTGTTGTTCGCCACGGTGACGTAGGTGACGGTAGGGGTGGGGACGGCGTTGGATATGTAGCGCTCGGACCCCACCATATGCTGGCCGCAGCAGCTGTCCAGGTACCAGGTGTCAGAATAACTGAGGCAGGGAATGGATGAACTAGCAGGAAGTTTGGTACAAGTATGAAACCCTAAGTTTGTGTACCCCCTAAGGTGTAACCCACTACAGCCTACACAATATAAACATACAATGTTTGACACACCCCCATAGGTGCAGTGGGAGACAACCACAGGGTCACGAGACCAGTCAAAGCAAAGCAAAGCAAGCTCAAGGTGGATCTCAAGGATACCACACAAATTCCGAGCACAAGCAAGTGGTCACAAGACCAGTTCACATGCAGTTTGATAATATAACAAGAGATACAGTGATCACAACCTAGCAAGTATAAACATACAGGTATATATATAGAGATCACAGTACAAGCAGAGTCAAGAAGTAAGCAAGTGAGGTCCAGCAGGCACAAGGCCTAGAAGAGTACAGAAACGCTAATGATTACAAGGCTGAAGCACCTTGGTGAACACATCAGCAGTGTTGGCCTGAGTGGCCACGTAACGCAGACGAAGCTGACCGCGCTGCTGCAGCTCTCGAGCAAGGAAGTAGCGCAGAGCGATGTGCTTCGTTCGGTGCTCCAGTCTGTGCTCCTCACACAAGGCAATGGCAGCCTTGTTGTCGACGTACAGTACTGGAGGAGAACAAGGCCGCTCTCCCAAGTCGGTTAGCAGGTAGGTGAGCCAGCGTAGCTCCTGGGCCGCCATGGCTGTGGCGTAGATCTCAGCCTCACAACTGGAGCTGAGAACAGAAGAAGAGCGTGTAGAACGCCAAGAAACTGAGCCAGAGCCAAGACTGAAGGTGTAACCCTGAGACGACCGCTAAGTAGCCTGGTCGTCCGCCCAAGAAGCGTCTGAGTGTCCAGTAAGTACAACTCGGTCTCGCCCTCCAAGCACTAGCCCCATGCCTGACGTACTGCACAAGTAGCGCAACACCCTCTTAGCGGCATCCATGTGCTCCTTCCAGTGACGGCCAGGAGCGACATAGCGTGCAAGGATGCTAAGAGGGTATGCAAGGTCAGGTCGAGTGCAGGTCATCAGGTACATGAGGCAGCCCACAAGCTCTGGATACGGGCCACTCGGCTCTACGGACTCATCCGAAGGCAGAGCTGAGAGCGAGTGACCGGTAGGCAGAGGAGTGGACTGAGGCGAGGAGTACGTGAAGCGGAAGCGCTGAAGGACCTGCTGCACCATGTGTGACTGAGTCAAGGTGATGGTGCGCCGTGCTCTGTCCCGGGTGATCCGCAAGCCAAGATAGCTTGTCAGTTCACCCAGGTCTGTGCACGTGTGTCTCTTCTGCAGCTCCGACTTCACGTGGGCGAGTGCCGCAGTGTCAGCAGTGGCAAAGACCAAGTCGTCGACGTACACGAGGATGTAGAACGGAGGCAGCGAGGTGTCGGTGCGTAGAAACAGCGACGGGTCAGCAGTAGGAATGAACCCAAGAGCCGCAAGTGTAGTCCTCAGTGTGTCGTGCCACTCACGCGGCGCCTGGCAGAGACCGTAGACTGGCCGCCGGAGGCTCCACTGGGTACCAGGAGGAAACGACCCAGTGAAGCCAGGAGGGCGGCGCAGCCAGATCTCCTCGTGCAGGCTGCCCTGCAAGAAAGCAGTGCTGAAGTCAAGTGAGTGAAGCTCGTAGTCGCGGTGAGCGGCTATGTGCAGCAGCACCCGAAGAGTGGTCATCTTCGGGGTGGGGGAGAAGGTCTGGAAGAAGTCTACTCCCTCTCGCTGACTGAAGCCTCGAGCAACGTAGCGCGCCTTGAAGACAGGAGGAGAACCTGCCCAGCCGCCGCTTCACCCTGAAAATCCACATGCCATTGACGATGTTCGCCCCAGGTGGGGGAACCTCGTCGACGTAGGTGCCTGTGGACTTCCAGGAAGCCATCTCTGCGTCCATGGCTGTCTGCCACTGAGAGGAGTAGGGACCCGCCATCGCCTCTGCGTAAGAGCGCGGGGTCGGGATGTGTGGTGCATCCGGGTCTCCCTCAGGGGCAACTAGCATGGACACGAGATGGGGCAAAGCAGCAGCAAAGCACTAGAACTCCTCCTGTCTGTCCTCAAGGACGTCCGTGCCAAGAGCACACTCACCCCCGACGGACGGAGGACAGACAGACTCAGACTCAGCAACAAGGCTAGCGGCGTAGTCGAGACGACACCGAGCAGCAAAGTCAACCAACTCAGCTACCAGAGCAGACGCAGCAGAGGACTCAAAGGTAGGGTCAGTGACAACAGTAGCTAGGAGACGCGTGACAGTGGGACTGGCAGCACGACGGGAGTCAGACTCCGGGTCAGGAGGAGTAGGAAGAGAGGACGCAGGAGGAGACGGCAGAGGGACACGCTGAGGAGCAGTGGAGGGACGCAAAGTCATGTAGTGAGTGCCAGGGACAGGGGGAGGACGCTCACGCGGGACACGACGACCAGTGCGAGCAGTACGAACAGGCGACGTAGGACGAGACTCAGGCTCACGATGCTCCGTAAGACCTCCTGTGGGACCAGTGTAAGGAGAGGGACCAGGGAGAGGCGAGGCAGGCGGTAACTGTGACTGCGACTGGACAGGCGGAGGACACTCTAAGGAGGAAGGAGGACAAGGAGGAGGAGTCTGACCAAGAACCTGCTGAAGGAGCGGTACGAAGTACGGTCGCGGCCGCGCAGTGTCTCCAGAACCAGTAGAGACACCAGCGTCAGGGTCCTCAGTACCAGCAGTAGCTCCAACGCCCGGGTCCGCAGCACCAGCAGCAGCTCCAACGTCCGGGTCCTCAGCACCAGCAGCAGCTCCACCGGCCGGGTCCTCAGCACCAGCAGCAGCTCCAACGCCCGGGTCCTCAGCACCAGGAGCAGCTCCAACGCCCGGGTCCTCAGCACCAGCAGCAGCTCCACCGCCCGGGTCCTCAGCACCAGCAGTAGCTCCAACTCCCAGGTCCTCAACACCAGCAGTAGCTCCAACGCCCGGGTCCTCAGCACCAGGAGCACCACTCCGAAGACTGCAGCGCCGCGTGTACCACTCTCGGATCCGCTGAAGGGAGGGGAGCTCCCGGGTAGGAGGGGAAGTACTGGTACCAGCTCCAGCAGCACCTCTCCGGAGGCTGCAGTACTGTAGGTACCTCTCCTGCAGCTGCTGTGAGGAGAGGGCTCCTCCAGGTGTAGCACTCCCAGGCTCAGTACCCCCAGGCTCAGCACCCCCAGGCTCAGCACCCCCAGGCTCCGCACCCCCAGGCTCAGCACCCCCAGGCTCAGCACCCCCAGGCTCAGCACCCCCAGGCTCAGCACCCCCAGGCTCCGCACCCCCAGACGCAGCACCTCCAGGCTCCTCACGCTCAGGCTCAGCACCCCTAGCAGGACGAGAGTCGACAGCTACCTCGACAGGCTCAACCGGGTCTACCTGGGACACACCTGAGGGAGCGGCACCCTGAGGGGGAAGGGGGTCTACCACAGCAGCACCTGGCGCGAGAGGAAAAGGGAGGCGGGGGGGGGAGCAGGGCAGTGCGGTAGGGGAAGAGGCGGTAGTAGGGGACGGACTCGTCAAAAGTGACGTCCTGAGAAGGCAGAACCCGGCGCGAGGTGACGTGGTAAAACTGCCAACCAGGCGCGTCCGGGACAAAGCCAAGGAAGACACAAGGAACAGCGCGAGAGGAGAGCTTGTCCGCGGACGTATCGCGAACAAAAGCTCGAGATCCCCAGACCCGAAAACGCGACGCATCGCCAACCTCTCCCGTCCACCGCAGTGTCGGGGAAGTCTCTGGCAAGGAGACACGGGGCCAGAGGTTGAGCTGATGCGCAGCGTATCGGACCGCAAACGGCCACAGAAAGTGGGGAGCAGCCGCATGGATCAGGGAGGTACGAGCGACCTCCATGACCAAGCCAATGCGGCGCTCAGCAACCCCATTCTGCTGTGGAGAGGCCGGAAGCGTGAACGACTGCTCAATGCCGTGCTCCGCACAGTAGGCTGCCAGGAGGTCGGAGGAGAACTCACCACCTCTGTCAGAGTGCAAACGCAGGACAGGAAAGTCTGAGCGGAAACGCTCGCTGAGCTGGAGACGAGCTCTGCTGATCCAAGGGATCAAGACATCAGGGACCTCACCCTTGGTGCGCAAGGGGAAGACCGTGGTGTAGCGAGAGTAGTCGTCAACAACAATCAGGAAGTACCTCTCCTGACCCTGACCACGGACGCGGGCTGGGCCCCACACGTCCAGGTGGAGCGTCTGCAAGGGAGCAGTCGTCGGGGGGAAGGAGGAGGAGTGAGGAGCGGCGCGCTGCCGCCCCTCGACACAGGGAAGACAGGGAGGAGCAGGCGAGGGTGGGAGGGGAGGGAGAACCCTGGGAAGACCAGAGACAAGGCACCGTTTGTGCATGGCCCGAAGGCGCTGCACAGACGGGTGACCAAGTCGGTGGTGCCAGAGGACGGTCTCGTGCGCCAGAGAGCGACACGAGCAGGGGGCCGACAGCTGACCTGACGCAGACGCAGACGCAGCTACCTGAGGGGACTCAGTGGTCAGTGTGTACAGGCCCGACCCCAGCTGCCGAGTAAAGGTAGCCAGGTGACGGCCCGTCCGAGCACACGTGCAGTGTGTCATGCGCTCGTAGGCAGGGGTGAACTGGTGAACACCCGCGTCCTGGAGCGCACAACCCGCCACCAAGTTCGTAGAGAACGAGGGGAGGTGGAGACCTGACAGTGTGCCCGACGGGACCGCAGGACAGGGAAGAACAGTGGAGGAGGTCGCAATGACCGGACCCCCAGAGGGGTCAGCGAGGGAGACAGCAACTGGCCGAGCAAGCGGCTCAAGGGCAGTGCGGTCACGAAAGAAACAGTGAGAAGCACCTGAGTCCAGGGTGAAGGTGTGCAGTGCCTCAGTCGACTCAGTACCAGGGGGGACAGACTCACTAGCACCTAGAGCAGCAGCCTCACCAGCACCTGAGGTAGCAGACACGCGAGTACCTGCAGTGGCAGTCTCACTAGCACCTAGAGCGGCAGCCTCACTGGTCCGAATGCCCGGGTCGGGCGGAACACGCAGGTACTGAGCACCCTCTCCACTAGTAAACATCACATACATGGCAGTAAGAATAGCATCAAAGTCTAGAGCCCAGATATCAACTCCCTTCTTCATCAGATCAGCCCAGCGGGGCAGCTCAGTGGCATCAGGGAACTGAGTGCGCCAAGCGTCGTCAAGGCGCGAGAAACAGCGCTGCGTGGGGTGCGGCCTCCCACACGTCTGACCAGTGCGGTCACCAGTGCGGATGACGTACGTGCAGCTAAAGCCACCCGCCCCCCCGCGCTGCGAATACCACTCACGGGCCTCCTGGAGCGACGGGGTGTGCTGCTGGCTCAGACCATCGCCAGCGCCTCCACGACCACCACCGCCGCCGCCACCTCCTCGACCACCCCCTCCCCTGCCGCTGCCACGACCACCGCCGCCCCCGCTGCCGCCCCCGCCCCTGCCACCGCCCCCGCCGCTGCCGTCACCACCCCCACTGCCGCCACTAGCCTCTCCAGCCCCACCTCCACTCCCACCGCCTCCACCCCCGCCTCCCCCGCCGCCACCTCCACCCTTGCCCCCTCTGTTCCTGCGGCGCCCGCTCGTAGCGGACGCAGCCCCGACCTTCTCAGCACCAAGGAGGTCGACAGCAGAAGCAGAGGCTACAGAGGGAAGAAGGGGGGAAGGGGAACACCCCTCAAAGAAAGGGGTGCGGGGGTCGCCACGAGAGGCACCTACAGCGACGATGCTCGCCTCAGCTGCAAGTAGTTCCTTCTCGAGGAGGGCAATGGTGAGCTCAGTGGGGCAGCGAGCGAGGAAGTGATTCCTGACTGCGCGCAGAGAGTCAGGGAGGCGGGTGACGATGTGGTAGAGAGTGAGCCAGAGCGGGGGGGGTTCCTAGCAAGGAACTCATCGGGCATAGCAGCGCGGAAGCGGGCCTCAAGGTGGGGCGCGCGCGGGGACGACAGGGCCGGCGGGGCCACTAGACGGGGCGCGCGCGGGGTCGACGGGGCCAGCGGGGCCACTAGGCGGGTCGCGAGCGGGGTCGACGGGGCCGGCGGGGCCTCTAGGCGGGGCGCGCGCGCGGTCGACGGGGCCAGCGAGGCCGAGTAAAAAAAAAATAAGAGAGTAGGGCGCTGGGGGGAGGCGCTAGGGCGCGCTTCGACAGTAGGGCGCACGAGGGCGCTAGTAGACAGTCAGTAGTGGTGGGCCCGGAAAAAATTAGGTGCTAGTGAAGGACCTGCTCTGAAACCATGTCAGAATAACTGAAGCAGGAATGAATGAACTAGCAGGAAGTTTGGTACAAGTATGAAACCCTAAGTTTGTGTACCCCCTAAGGTGTAACCCACTACAGCCTACACAATATAAACATACAATGTTTGACACCAGGTGTTGTAGCGCTTGTTGTCGTCACGTGCGAGCAGCGCCAGTCGCGGCGTGACGATGTGCGGGGTATCGAACTTCAAGAATTGCTCGCGCGTGAGCCAATCAAGTGGCGCCACCCGCATATCAGGTACGTGCGGGGGACTTTCGAGCAGCGGGACTGGGAGATTCCAGTCCTGATCGTCGTCGTCGGTGAAGTCGTGGCGCGGGCTAAATAAGTTGTTATTGGTGAACGCGCCAATGGGGTGCGGTGCCGGCTCAGGTGAAGGTGAGCGCACGCGGCGACGACGCGATTCGCCTGTCATGGCCATGTTGCTCATGACGTTGCGAACTGTAGCATTCGATGACGGCTGCTGCTGATGCTGAACCGTTGGGTTCAGGTTGCGCGTGGGAGTGGGCTGATACCTGGGCTGGACGCACGTCGCCTCGTGCGTCTTGACGGCCGGACCAGGTGCTCGGATTGGTCTGGCGAGGGCGAGATCGGTGCTTGCAGCGATCCGCCAAATGCCCGAAGTTTCTGCAGATTTTGCAGTAGAGGCGCCGTGGCTTTCGCTCTTCGGTGTTGTCGGCGTAGAAGGCGAGCCGTTCGCGTTCTCGTCGCGGCGCAGGTCGCTGCTGATCCATATCCCTCTGTTCGACGAGAAGGGCGGCGCAAAGGGCGGCCTCCGAGATGACCCCCTGCTGTCGGAGAAGCGCCTTGCAGGGCCGCCACTCTGGGCCGAGCCCTTGAAGCACGATGTTGACGAAGATTTCTTCGGAAGATTTGATCGCGAAGGCTCCGACAGCGATTAAGGTAGTTGTTGACCTTCTCCCCTGCGGTCATCTTAGTTTCCAGGAGTTCCTGGAGTAGTCGGCTTGAGGAGACGGAGTCCTTGGGCTGATAGACTCTTGTCAGGTGCCGCCAGGCATTGAGGGCTGGAGCAGCCGAGGTCTTGTATGAACGAATGTTGAGCTGCTCCGCCGGCGACATATTCCGCAGGAGCACCCCGTACGCCATCAGCGATTCGTTGTAATACCTCGCTTTGGCGTCGTCGGTGTCCTCAGCGGGCTCCGCGTAGCTCCCGTCGAAGTAATGGAAGATTTGGGCGTTCTGCAGCAGGAGCTCCAACTCGAAGCTCCAGGTATAAAAATCTCTGCCGTCAAAGCAGGTACTTGTCTTTATTTTTGATATGCTGAGAAACCTTGATTGAGCGGAGAGAATTGCCTCTTCGCTGGGACGGGGAGTCTTGGGGGTTGAGCCATTGGTGTCGAGGGAGAATGTTTGCAAAGTGGCAATCTGGCCAGTCGGGGCCGGTTGAGAGGGTTGCGAGGATGTTCCCGCATCGCCATTCCGCAATGTTTGGAGTCCTTGCTCCAAGCTGGTGAGTCGCTGAAGAAGTTGTGCGAGAACTTCGGAACCGATCGTCGTCGTGTTCTCGCTTGTCGCAGCCGGGTTGGGTTGCGCTTCAGCCGTCAGATTTGTCTGACCACCAGATCCTCCGGCCATCTTCACTCGTGAGCGTGTGCCGGACGCCACTTTCCGAATGTCGCAATTTTTGGGAGTGGCAGTGCGAAGGATTCCCGAGCCAGGGACCGTGCTAGGAATTGGGACACCCTGAGGCCTCATGGCACTTTTCTAAAATCTTTTAAAATGCCCTGATTTGTCAGGGCAATTCTTCGGGGCCTTCCTGTATGTTCAGGACTTCTGCAGACATTTATCCTGAACTGTCAGGGCAAAAAAACATGTGTTCAGGGTTCAGATTTCAGCACAGACCAGACCAGACTCTGCTGAGCAGACCCGAGCATAGCAGCATGGCACACGATTAGTTGGGAGTGTTCACCGTTTCCCCCATCTGATGCGTTTGGTTGGTGCGTTGCGCAGTTTCGGAAGTGCAAGGGGGTCGCGAAAGCGGGAAGATACACGGGGAAAGCAATCCGCGGGGGAAAAATTCCAAGGAACAAATTCCCAGGAAACGGTACCCCCCCCCCCCCCCCCACCCGAAAATGAAAAAAACGCGTCAGGGTGAACCTCGACATTCATCCTGACGCTGCAGGGAAGAACACCACAGCCATCCTGATTTTCCAGGGCATTTCATATAATAACATCCTGAGAGCTCAGGGTTAAAAGTGTCACTATTCTGAAATTGCAGGGAAAATTCAAATATACATCCTGAATTCAAGGTAATCAGGATGTTTTGCCCTGATATCGTGGGGCCTGTCCCGAGCCGCTCTCATACCGGTACCCTGCTGCGATCAAAAGATGATCGTAGCGCAGGATCTACTCAGGAAGGTTCGCACGCAGTAAGGTAGTGTTGGTGGGCCCTTGACCTCAATAGCAGAGTGAATGTAAAATGCTTTGAGATGAATTAAAACATGCAAATACAAGAAATATAAATATGAGTACAGGGAATACGAAACGACCTAACTAGCCATGTACTCTAAGGGGTACATTCCCTTATTCAAATTCATCCCCAACCGTGCGGCGCGTACAGTTTCGTAACTGTTCCCGCCAAAACCATCCTGCCAGTAGCTGCCCGATGCCGTCTGCTCCGACGGTCCAGATGTGCTGTAACCGTCCGACGCTTCGATTCAATTCCAACCGTCTGACGCTTCGCGTTCGTTCCCGATATTGCGTGCTTCTCTTTGCTGCGGTGAGGAGTGCACAGTAATATCAAATATTACTATTCGTAACACCCCCCACTTTGCCTATAGGGGTGTGTCAAACATATATACTGCATGTTGTCTAGGCTGTAGTGGGGTAGCCCATATGGGGTACAACCCAAATTAGGGTTTCCTACTTGTACCCATCATGCTGCTAGTTCATTCATTCCTGTCTGCTGATAGATTCTAACTAGCTAATAAAGTAGTAGCCTAAAACGCTTAGCCTAAAACTACCCTGCTCAAATCAAGCTAGCGGTTGATTTACTCTGCTGTAAACAGGGTACAGAAATTATTACCCCAGGGGTCTGTTTAAGGAGGGCCTGGAACCCTGATTTGTAAGGGTAGGTCTAAATCAATTTTGGGCCCTGTAACAGAGTGTTTCACCGTACATCTTGGTAACTAGATAATTTCTGGTGTCTTAATTATGATTATATAAATGCAGGTCGTGTTATAAACGTGAGATTAAGTCGCAAACAGACCACCAAGAAGACACTAGCTAGTGGATGCAAGGGGAAGGGGGAGGGGGGGGAGGGGAGAAAGGGAGGGGGGGAGGGGGCAGGTGTCACAGAACATGGGACGGAGGAAGCAAGGCGCTCAGGTTCTATGAGTGGTGTTATATTCTGTCCTCACTGTCTCCCAGAGAAGATTCAGAACGAGGAATAAGGTTTTAATCATTGCGCCAGGCAGCATGGGAAAGGTTAACAGGTGAAGCGAGAGGCAGCTGAAGCCTCCTCAACTTCACAAGGAAAAACGGTGGATGAGCACACAGCTGATATCAGCCGAGATTTAAAGTGCTCGCGCTCCGTGAGTAATGTGGAGGGAGCAGCAGCCCCTGGCTACCACTGGTACAATGACAGAGGGGAAAGCGTGGCTCCCACAAACGAGTACAACCAATGTGGCGCCATGCTCGTAGCCACTGCAGGCTAAGGCTCTCGCTCCTGGTTAGGGAACGAAAACGCTGCTATGGGGACTTTTAGGCGCGAAAAGGAGCAGCAGTGGAACGCGAGGAAGAGGGTAAGAGGGGGAACTGGAAGCATGAAAATGCTCAGCCTCGTAATTAAGAGTGAAAGACACGAAATGTACGTGCTGTTAACAAGGCGAGATGGAAACGGGGAGTCAGACGTGAATGGATTTTGCCTCAAAGGGTTCAACTCACAAACCCCTGCTGAAGCATGGGCGTCGTACATCTAATTGAAGCATCACCCTCCCTCGTCTCCACCACTCATCGACGTGCACGAAAAAGATTGCACGCGAGGAAAAGGGGGGATGCAAGACGGATGCAAGCAAGAGCAGAAACAAGTGAATGTGGGTCAGCCAGCAGCAGAGCTGCGGGTTTCGTCAGCGGCTCAAGCCATCAGAAACACGGACCAAAGTTGTTTCATCACTCCCACACCAGTCCGACTAGAAACAGGACAATTGACAAAAAAATACAACGCGACTCAGGATAGCGGAAAAAAAAAAATCAACATAGGAGGATCAGAAACAGCCTCTGAGTGATGTGAAGCATCAGCTGAGCGCTCAAGGCACTCAGGGTCAGGAAAAGGTCAAGAACTCTTGTCACATCACATCCTCGCTATAAGAAAAGCTGAAGGCCTACACCCCATACAGCGGAAAGAATTTGCATAATGCGCGAGAAAGCGGATGTGGGCAGGTTCATAGTTGAGGCAAGGCGGGAGGGAGGCCAGGCCTCAGTGGAGAAACGCCCAGTGGTTGTCTGGCCACTGCGACCCCTCCCCCCCGCACCTGCACCCGAGGGTGCAGGGAGAGAGGGAGAGACCGCGCTCTCATCTCAGGGACGGTTTCTGGTGACCCCGGCATTGGGATTGCCGGGAACAAAGGGATGACCGGCCCTTTTAAGCCGTGTCACATCTACGATGCGTCGTCAAGAAA